TATCTTTTTTCTTTTTTTTTCTTTTTTTTTTTTGGTTTTTTTTAGCACCTTGGATTTGCCCCCACCAATCCAACCAGCTTTGCTGTGCCTTCACCATTCGAGCCCAGCAAGGTGGCATGTGGAGGGGGGGATGGCAGTGTGGCAGTGCCTGCCCTTGGTACCACACATGCTCAACACACACACATACAGAGAAACATGTGCCAGGGGCACAGCTGGCCACACCTTGGGGCCACCCTGTCACCCCAGTACCTGTGCTGGGCTGGCTGTGGCTGTACCTGGGCTGTGGGGGCACAGCCGGGGGTCCCCAGGATGCATGGATGGGATGGAGGAGACCACATCTCCATCAGAGCTCTGCTGGCTGGGAGGTGGAGGTGAGAATGATGATGGGATGGTCCTTACCTGGGGAGGATGGATACCATCTGGGAGAGCCCCAGCATCACCACAGGACAGTCCCTTGGGTGGGATGCTGGTGTCTTGGCTGGAGAAGACCCTGTGGCCTCAGCAGCAGGGATTTGGGTCCAACCCCAAGCTCCTGGTAAGGACAGTGCAGGGCCAGGGGGCTGGTGAGAGTGGCTTTTGGAGGGAACAGTCTGCATGGCAGCACTGAAATCTCCCTGCTAAGCATCCTCCCACCCAGCCATCCCAAAAAGAGCATCTGAGGAGGGAGGGGAACAAGCTGAAGTGGTTAAATATTAGGAATTAGAAGAGGAGGAGGAGGAAGGCCACCAGTCCATGGCTGCCCTGCCCCGGGTGGGACCTGAGCCCCTGCCGACCCAGGGCAGGGGCCATGGCAATACTCTTTGGCTTCAGGTCTGCAGGAGAAGGAAACCCTGTGGGGCGAGAGTGGGCGCGTGGAAGAGGCTGAGGGGTCCAGGGGTGCTGGGGTGCAGGCTTGCCCAACCCTCCTCGGGGACATGAGGGTACTTGGGAGTGCCAGGGCAGGTATCACTTTTTGGTAGCAGTCATGAAGCTGTTCTCAATGCAGAGGACAATGAAGGCGTGCTGACAGCTGCTGGCCGCCTGCTCCAGCAGTTTTCCAGAGGCCAAAGAGGAAGCCTGGCCCCTCACTGCACGCTCCTCTGTCCGCCATGTCTCGCAGTAGCTCTCGGGCAGGCGCCGACCCTTGGCATCTGAGCCATGCCAGATGCTCTTCTGCGGCCTGGAAGGGTGAAAGGTGGGGGGCTGCTGCTGCCCTGCCATGCTCCAAACCCCATTTCCTCATCGCTCAATCCTGCACTCACCATCCTGCATCCCGTAGGACATCCCGGCCGTCAAAGGAGAGGATGCGGGCACCAGTTCTCAGCGGGGCCCCACTACCCGTGAAAAGGGCTTCCCAGTTACTGAAGAGCACTTCATCCTGGTGGGAAGGGTGGGAAAATGGAGGAGGAGGGGGTTTAGCCCTGCCTACAGCACCCCAAGAGCAGCCCAGATGCTCCAAGCCCCAGCAGCCTCTGGGAAGGGGATGCTTCATGATGGATGGGGGCTTTGCTGTGCTCTGCATGCCAGACCTTGGTGGTGCTGGGTTAATAGTTGGACTTGCGGATCTTAAAGAGATCTTTTCCAACCATAATGACTCTGTGATCCTATTCTGTGGTCCATCAGAGCTCAGAGAGTGTCGAGAAGGGGATGGAGACATGCATACCCTGAGATTGACGATGGGGACAGCGGCTCGGTCGGCCCGGCGCACAATGCTGTAGAGATCCTGCAGGCGCGAGGACAGGAAGGCACGGAAGGTGCCAGCCAGCCCAACCTGCCGGGCTTGCTGGAAGCACTGGAAATCAGCGCCCCGGATGCCACGCATGCCACCACTCAGCGGGGTGTTCAGGGCCACCAGATGAAGCTGCCAAGAGAGGACAACGGGGCTTGAGGGACACAGCTTTGGCCGCTAGCATTAGCTCCCCTCAGCTGGCATGTGGCACTCACAGCGGGCTGGAAGTCCTGGTGCACATGGGCGGCCACGGGGGCAGGATCTGGCCGGCGGTGGATGTAGTACCCATTGATGAGTTCATGCTGATGGTGGAGCAGGGGCTGCTCAGGCAGGCGGTGCTGGTTGGCCACAACTTCGTCCCCATGCCAGGGACGGGCAGTGGCCGAGGGGACGTGGTTGTGGAGCGGGTGCAGGGGCCCACGGGGCTGGGGGCCGGCGTAGTGGAGGGTGGGTGGCTTGTCATACACCTCGTTGTCCTGGGGAAGGGGACACGGTATGAGGGGCGGTGTGGTGCCCCAGATGGGGATGAGCATGGAGAATGCTGGGGATGGATGGTGATGGTTGTGGTTGGATGAAGATGTGCATGGTGATGGTTGGGGTTGGATGAAGATGTGCATGGTGATGGTTGAGGTTGGATGAAGATGTGCATGGTGATGGTTGGGGTTGAATGGAGATGGTGATGGGGATTGATACGGTTGGGGATGAATGGAGAAGGGGATGAAGCTGATTGTTGATGGATAGAGATGTGGATGGGATGAAGATAGATGAGGATGGAGGATAAGGATGGGATTGGGAAGGAGGATAGGGATGAGGATGTGCACGGGAAACGGAAGACTCACCAGAGCCGAACTGGGAATCAGGTTGTGCTCCTCCAGCTGCAAGGGCATGGCACATCAGATCCCAGCTGCCCCCCTCTCCTCTTCCTCGCGCACAAGTGGGGGGACCCCAAGCATCACCGAGTCACCACCGAGCCCCAGGGCAGTGCTGTCCACGCTCCCCAGCCGGGGTGCCCTTCTGGTCCCCCCCACTCACCAGCACCCTGCGGAAGCCCCCGCGCAGGCGGACGTGGAGTTCCTCCCGGTCCGTCAGGAAGACGAGGCTGCCCTCGGGCAGCTCGTGCGCAGCACTCAGCATCGCCTGGTATGTGGGCATGGCCTGGAGCTGTGGGCACCGGCCAGGGCAGGGCTCAGGGATCGGCTGCCTGCACTGTGGGCAACCCTGCCCAGAGCCCTGACTCACCCCCAAGGACATCCCGCTACTGCCTGGTGGTCCAGGGGGTCCTGGGGGTCCTGGGGGTCCAGGGATGCTGACAGCTGTGGGAGAAGGAGGGTGAAATGGAGAGAGGTGCAGCAAGGGGAGGAATGCAGAGCTGCAAGGAGGGATGCATGGGATACAAACAGGAATGCTGGGGGTGGCAAGGAGGGATGTGGGGGTGCAGTAGAGCAGGTACTCACCTTGTCTGTGGGGACCTGGGAAGGAGGGTGGTCCAGGCGGACCAGGAGGGCCAGGGGGGCCCTGCCGCCCCTCATATCCGATACCAGGGGGACCCTGAGGTCCTGGAGGCCCCGGTGGACCAACAATACTGTCCCCCTTGGGACCCTAGACAGTGTGAGAGAATATGTTGGAGCAAAGCCCCCAGGGATGCCACCCCCCACTGCAACCCCCTTCACTCTCCCCACTATGAGGTACTCACCGGCAGCCCGGGGTATCCCTGGGGCCCTGGAGGCCCTGGAAGTCCAGAGACTCCAGGACCGTAGAGTGGGGTGCTGCCTGGCTCACCCTTCTCACCCTTGGGACCTGCATCTCCCTTGTCACCCTGTGGGATGGCACAGCCTTAGGGTGAGCAGCTGGGATGGACCGGGTACCCCGAGTGATGCTGGGTTCAGCTGCCAATGTGCAAAGGGCTTACCTGCAGGCTGGTACCAAAGTGACTTGCATCATAGGGGAACTGGCCTGTGGAGAGAGGGAGAGGAGGGGAGAGGAGCCAGGCCAGGCAAGAGCTGGCCTGCCTCTGCCAGCAGGGACCAGTCACCTACCTGGGGGTCCTGGGGGTCCAGTGTCACCTTTCTCTCCCTTTTGTCCTGAGAACTGGTGGAAACCTGTGGGGAGCAGCAGAGATGCCATCTCAGAGCTGCAGCTCTAAGGGAGGGAGGGGGTTTCTCCCCCCCCCCCCACCCCCCGAGCCCTGCTTTGCCAAGGTTTCTCAAAATGCCCAGAGGGGGCTGTGAGAGGGACACCTCCTTACCACGGAACGCCGGGTGGCTGGAGTCACTGAAGGTCTGTGGAGATGCAAACGAAGTGGCTGAAGAGACAGCAGCATCCTCGGGATCCCCCCCTCAATGCTAGTGACCATCCCACTGCCAGCCCCAGCCAGGATGTCACCAGAGCATTCTCGGTGCCCTCCAGGCAGGCAGGGACACTGGGGGCCCAGTCACCAGCTTGTCCATCATGGTGACTGTGGTGATACTCACATTGCCATTGTTGTAGACTATGCTGCCAGGTGGCCCAGGGGGCCCTGGGGGTCCTGGGGGTCCTGGGGGACCCTGTGTGGGGTGAGAAGATTTGTCAAAGTCCTGCAAAGCGGGCAGTCCCTGCCATGGAGGGGGACAACCAGCCCCTGAGAGAAGGAGATGTGCCCTTTGCCTAACGGATTGGGGTCCTTGGGGAGACCCTCGGGGTGTGTGCCCTGCCGTGCAGGGCCAGCAGCTGAGGGTCACAGCAGTGCTCACCCGCAAGCCCAGCACGTCTGCGGGGTCACCCTTCTCGCCCTTCAGCCCATTCATGCCGGGACGTCCCTGTGGATGAGTAGCACAATGAGCCTTGTCCCCGTCCCACCAGCCCCTGGTGTCACATCTGGTGCTCCGGAGTCACCTCTGACACCCCAGCACCACCCCATCCCTCATGGACAGGGCAGGGTGTGGGGCTCAGTGGGTGCAGGACGTGCAAACAGGGAGGGGGACGCAGCGGAGGCGATGGACACAAACTGGAGCAGGTCTTACGGGTCTGCCTGGAAAGCCGATCTCTCCCTTCATCCCTGCTCGTCCTGGGGGACCCTGGAAGGGAGAGGAGTCAGGGGGAGGGATGCTGAGTATGGCGGCACTCCCTCTGCCTAGGATCATTCCCATCCCTCCTCGTGGGACACAAGGAGGAGGATGGTGATGGTGACTTACCGATGGTCCCATTGGGCCTTGCAGCCCTGGCTCCCCCTGCAAACAGTGGAGAGGGAAAGGGCATCACCACTAGCACCTGTCCCATGGGGATGTGCCCCATTCCTGCCAGGAACCCACCTTTTCTCCTTTCACCTTGGCAGTGACCACAGTCCCATCAGGGCTGATGATGACGCCGGGCTCCCCCTTCTCCCCCTGCAAGAGAAGGGGAGGTGGGAGGGGACACGGAGGGACCAGGCTCCCTCCCATGACAGAGCTGGTGTCACCTGGTGGCCAGGTAGAATGAGGGACCAGGAATGTGACCCCTCCATGGGGTGCAGGTGGCCTGGAGCAAATACCTTCAATCCTGGGGCACCCTGGGGACCAGTTGACCCCTGGTCTCCTTTCGGTCCCACCGGCCCCTGAGGAAAGGATACAGAGTCTACGTCATTCCCAAGCCACCAAAGGCAGGCCCCAAACTCCCCCTCTATCACCACCACCACCACTCTGCAGCAAAGCACAGCAGGACTGGCAACCACAGCTGTCACCAGGGCCACCCCATGCTCCTCAGTCGTGTCACCAACTCACCGGGAAGCCAGCACGGCCTGGTCTACCCTGCAGAGAGAAGCACAGAGGCTCCTAAGAGTAAAACCCCTCTTTCCAAAAACAGGGTGCCCTCCTGGCACTGCTGAGGGGTGGGCACAGGTGGCAGAAGGGCACCTACCTCTGGACCAGGAAAAGCCACCAAAGACTTCTGCAAAAAGAGACAAAATGAGTTTTTTCCCCCCGGATCCTGGGTCTAAGGGTCAGAGCTGCTGGCGAGGTCTCCCTCATGATGGCTGCTGGAATACGCCTTCCCCTGCCCTTTGCTGAAGCCAAGTGCCATCACTTACATCTTCACTGGAGACACTGATGACCTGTCCAGGAGGACCAGGGGGGCCAGGAAGCCCCACTCCATCTTGGCCTCGCTCTCCCTGGAAAACGTAAGCCATCAGCCCAGGGCCACCAGTGGCTGGTCCCCATCCCCAGCCTGGTGGCACCTACCTTCTCACCGGTGCTGCCTTTGTCACCTTTGGGTCCCTGGAAAGAGCAGTAGGAGCACCAAATGGAGATGGACTCTGGCTCACCAGTGCAGACCCCCTCCCACCTCTGCCTCCAGCTCCAGGCAATAAGCCAAGCTGCAATGATTTTAGGTGGAGGTGGTGGCCAGAGGGGCAACAAGGTGGGGGATGACAGGATCCTAGGGAGTGTGGGCACCCCTGACATGCAATGAGCCAGGTCCCACAGCGGGAGGGGGAATTTTGGTATTTTGGCTGTTGGAGATGGAGCTGCTGCTATCAAGAGTGCCCTGCCTGGAGGTGGGGGGGGGTGTCTTCTGGAGCTGGGGGGCTGAGGCTCCTACCTGTGGTCCAGGGAAGCCCTCCGGGCCAGGGCGGCCATCCATGCCAGGCATGCCAGCATCTCCCTGCAATGGGAGTAGTAAAGGGTAGGATGCAGTCCCAGGTCGTGCAGCACAGGACTCCTGCCCACTGCCCTGCACACCTAGGTGCTGGCACAAAGCCATCCCAATCTCCCAATGCTCCTACCTTTGGGCCTGGCAAGCCAGGCTGTCCAGGGCTGCCGACCTCTCCCTGCAAGTAAAGAGGTGTCAGAGGCATCCCTACAGGCTGCCTGCAGGCATCCTACATGGATGGAGCCAGGAGCACGTTGAAGGGTTCCTCACCTTCACCCCCGGCAGTCCCGGCACACCCTGCAAGCAACAAGGGGACCATGAGCACTGGGTGATGGCGGGGGACATGATGGCTGGGAATACCCCAGGGAGCCCAGGATGGAGAGGAGAGAAAGGGCAGGAATGGTCCTACCTGTGGTCCTTCAGGCCCAGGTGGTCCAGGGGTGAATGACAGCCCTGAGCCCTCCATGTCACCCTAAATGCAAGGAGAAAGGGCTGAGCTGTGTCTGTGCCTGGCTCCAGCTCATCCCATCCCATCACTGCAGTGACCACTCACAAATCCAGCCTCGTAGCCTGGCCCTGGTGGTCCTGGGGGGCCAGGGGGTCCTGGCTGCCCTTGGGGTCCGATGGGCCCAGGAAGGCCAGCTAAGCCCATTTCTCCCGGGGGTCCTGCTGGTCCCATTTCTCCTTTGTTGCCCTGCAAAGGAGACAAGAAGTGGACAGATGGAAGGTGGCAGTGGTCACTGCCTGGAGCCTGCGAGCAGGAGGCAGAGCATCCTCTCACAAATCCCCTCTGGGACAGGACAAGAATGATCTTCCTGATGTTCCCCTGCCTAGGGGCTTTGTGGGAGGGGGCATTGCCCAGCTTGGCCACCCTTCATCCCGCCAGCTCCCCATGTAATGTCCACAGTGGCCACCAGAGGCTCGTCTAAAATCATAAAATGGAAATGTTTTTGCAGGTCGGGCTGGCTGCAGTGCTGCAGCAGAGCTCAGTGCCATAAAGGAATGCTTGCAGGCATTCCTGGGATTGCAATGGGTCTGGAAGCAACAGGATTGGACCTTACGCCCACTGCCACCCTATCTGCCCTCTGGGTGCTGCAGAAGTGCAGAAAGTTAGAATTAAGGTTAAGAAACCTTATTTTTTGAGGTTTTTGCCCCCAGCTCAGGCTGCAGTGGATGATCATCCTCAGGGGCAGAATCCCAACTCTAAGGGGCTCCCAGCAAGCCTTTACTTCACCTTTGGGGATGCAGGGTGGAAAGAAGCTGGAGCAAGCAGACAGGAGAGAGTCATGCACAGAAGATGGGGTATTTTCCAGTGGGGTGTGGGCACCCCCCAAACAAAGTCTTCTCTGTGTCTTTAAACACCCCCCCTTGGTTTTCCTGCCCACTTCCTGATGTGGCAATGCCTGGAGCAAAGCCAAGGCAGGGTAGCAGGTGCTTGGTGAGTATCCTTTGTGGGGTCAGCAGCTCCATGCACCTTTGAGATATGGCCCTGATCTGGGAAGAACACAAATAGCAGCACCCCCCCTCCCCATTCCTGTGCAAGGTGGCTCCCCCAGGCAACTCCCTGCCTCCAGTCTGCAATGGAGAACCCAAAAAAACCCACCCTAGGCACAGTACCTTGGGTCCTGGTAGGCCAGGGAGGCCAAGGTCACCCATATCTCCCTGGGACGGAGGAGAGAGAAGGGGGTGTGAAGAAGCTGCCCAGCTCCAGGCAGGAGCAGAATGGTGCTCCCCAGCCCAGGAACTGGGGCTTCCCAGAGATGTGCCAGGGGTGCCAGACGCCCTGTGGGACAGCTGTGACATGCTCCTGGGGCACATGAGGCAGAGCCAACCTGCCACTCACCTGCTCTCCTTTGGGCCCCGACTGCCCAACCTCCCCATCTCTTCCTGGAGGACCCTGAGGACCCTGTAAGATCCCAGGAGTTGGTTCCAGCCCAGGAAAACCCCGGAGGGCTGGTGGGCACCAAGCCCCCCATGGCCACAGAGTGGCCCTGGGATGGGGGATGAGTCTCCTTGGCCACCCCACAGACCTACCACTGGCCCCGGGGGCCCAGGGATCCCGTCCCTGCCCGGCAGTCCAGGTGGTCCTGGCAGGTCTGTGCAGTTCATCCCAAAACGCCCTGGCTCCCCTGGCAAACCGGGCACGCCAGGTGGCCCTGGGGGACCAGGTGGCCCTCGTGGACCCTAGAAAAGACACGGGGGGCCGTGGCTGAAGGTGTCCCCCCACTCCCAGCTGGCAAGACAGGCATTCACCCCCACTCACCCGCAGGCTCTCCAGGTCACCACCGAAGCCAGAGCCCTCCATGTCAATGAAGGTCTGGGTGAGAAGCACAAGGGTGATGTCAGGGCACCTGGTGGCACTGGGGCTTGCCCAGGGGTTGGTGGCAGCACTCCGCACCTCTGTGACTTGATGGACCCGCCATCCCTCAAATCCCTGTGTCCCAGGGGGCACTCACCAGCTTGTCGTTCTTGGAGGAGGGTCCCGGTGGTCCTGGAGGGCCAGGTGGTCCAGGGGGTCCTCTCGGCCCCATGCCTGGGTCACCCTGGCATAGAGGAGAGAGTGCAGTTTGGGGGTGCAGCTGAGCTGGGGATGAGGGGAAGGGGGGCAACACCGGCACTCACCTTCTCCCCCTTCAGGCCCGGCTCCCCCGGCATCCCGGGGAACCCTGGGGGCCCCATTTCACCCTGCAAAGGGGAGCGGTGGGGGGTCAGCAGGCGGCAAGGCAAGGAGGTGGCCGTCCCCTATCACCCTGCCACCACCTCCACCCCACTTACAGGTTTGCCGTCCTCGCCAGGATCTCCCTAGGGATGGCAGAGAGGGGACAGGTCAGTGTGCAGGTGGGAAGGGTAGTGGGCAAGGACAACCCTGTACAGGGAGGAATTGACTCACAGGCTCGCCATCCCTGCCAGGGGCTCCGTCCTTCCCTGGTGTCCCTGGGGGCCCGGTGACCTGCTCAACCACTGAGCCATCAGCATGCCGAGAGAGGGTCCCAGGGGGTCCAGGGTTACCTGGTTCTCCTTTTTGGCCCTTAGAGCCAGGGTAGCCAAATCCAGCACTGCCCTGGGGATGGGAGGAAGATGGGAGTGGGTGGCAGGTCTCTGAGGTGACAGCCTGGGTAGGGCATGGCTCTGTGCCAGCTCCCCCAGTGATGCTCACCTTGACACCCAGGTCTCCTTTCTCCCCCTGAGGATCAGAAACAGAAGTGTGTGTCAAATACAGACATGTCACTGGCACCCTCGAGCTCCCGGGGATCAACTCTCACCCACCTTTTGACCCTTGACACTGCCTGGCCCTGCAATGCCACTGGTCCCCGAGTCCCCTTTCAAGCCACGTTCCCCCTTCTCTCCCTTTTCGCCTTTCTGACCGGTGCCTGTGGAAAAGGAAAAGGACCCAGTCATGGCTGGGGATGGCCACACCACCACTATGTCCCCACTTGTTCACCCTGGGGAATGGGAAAGCTGCTGGAATTACCTCCCATAGAGACCCGCAGCGTCTCCTCCGCTCTGGTCCTCTCAGCTTGCTGCAGGGACCCCCCGCCACTCCTCGGGCCACTGCCCCCCACCACGGGGGGGGAGGTCACAGGGACAGCATCCACCAGCCCTGGGACACCCTGAGCCAACAATGAGGGGACACCATGACACCGTTCACCTCCCAGTTCCTTCCCAAAAGGGACAGGTGCTGGGACACCATCAAGCATCCCATGACCTCAGCCATGCAAGGCACTCAGCCCTCCTTGTCATGAGAATTTTGGGGTCCCACCCTGGGTGCCACACTTGTGGGCAGCAACTCACCTCAACCTTGCTTAAGGACTGCTGTCCACCTTCCATCCCACTGCCAAAATCCCCAGAGACCTGCATGTGCCCATGGAGAAGGAGTGAGAGCTGGGAGCATGGTGGGGGCAGCCCCAAGCCCTCCCCGGCCACGCTGCCAGTGCTCACCTCTGCATCATCCTCCTCTTCCTCACACTGGCGCTCAGCCGCCCGCGGGTCCCCTCGGAGTTTCAAATCTGCAATCACCCCCTGCAAGGAGACCACGGATGGGTGGGGGACACAGACAAGCCACCCGGCTGTGATGTGACCTGCTGTGCCACACGGCCGCCACATCCTTGAGATCTTGGGAGAAAAAGGATGGATGAGACCTGCTGCCCACACTGTGAGAAGCTGGAAGAGGTCATCACCCAGCTGGGGGCATTTGTTTGTGAGAGGAACTGATATAATTGTTTTCATTCTATATAAACTATATCTTTATGATATATTTATTATCTATAATCTATCTATAATCTACTTATAATTCATTAATATTATGTCACCGTCGGCCTGGCTAAACTGCAGTTGCCCCTGTCCCTGTTTTCCTAAGTTCATCACGTTTCCTTGCCTGGACATGGCACCCTGTGCTTTCAAGCCAGCCCAAATATTATTTTACTTGTCTTGCCCAAAGAAGAGACACCAAGGGGGAGGTATCTCCTCTCTCAGAGTTCACTTCACAGAATCGTCCCCTGCTCCTTCCCACTGGGATCAGACAGATGGGCAGCATCCCAACTTGGCAGACTCCCATCCCAACAGCATCCCTGTGTCTCATCTTGCAGCAAGGACCCAGGCTGGGCTCTGGGATGTGCTGGGTGACCCTGCTTGCAATGGGAGCTCAGGCTGTGGGGTTCAGGGGTTCTTGCAGTGGGGTTCAGGCTGGTACCCACACCACCTCTCCTGCTGAGGCCAGGATGCTACAGAGGTTTGCCTGGAGGCAGCATCCTTAGGAAGGGATTTGCGGTGGTTTCTTGTATGAACAAGTGGCCTGGATGCACATGGTGCTTTCAAAACACAAACAAATAGTAAGGAAGTGCAGATTATCCCAGGAAATACAACATGTGGGCTGCAGAACCTGCCCGCTGTCCTTGCGTGGGGCAGTCAGCTGTGTCCAGGGAGCCCTCAGGAAAGGAAAAACAAGGAGCACAGCCAAAAGATCCCTGTAAAAGCTCTGCTGGGTGTCTGGCTGGGTCCTGGCTTCTACCTCTGCTCAGCAGATGTGATGCCAGCTCTGGCACATGGCTTGTCCAGCCATGCTGGTGGTGCTGGACAATGGCTGCAAGGCTGAAACCTGGGGGTTTCCAAAGGAATGGCAAACAAGCCAGTTCCAAGCCCTGAAGCGAGGCAGTCCCACAGCGGATGGTGATAGGGGACCTTTGCAGCCTCTTTGCTCTGATAAAGGAGCAGCAGCACCAGAGATCTTCTAGTGAATCCATAGAATCATGGAATCATTAAAGGCTGGAAAAGCCCTCTAGGACCATCATGTCCAACCATTAACCCAGTGCTACCAGGTCCCCCGCTAAACCATGTCCATCCAGCTGCAAACAAACCTTCCTGCCAGGCCCTAGCTGAGACCCCATTTGCCCCCTTGAGAGCTGCTGTCCCAGGGGCTTCTGCGTAACCTGCAAGCTTTGCCCCTCCAGGTTTCCTGCCACAGCCGTAAAGGCAACTCAGGAAGGAGCAGAGGTGCCAGGACACCACTCCAGCTGCCTCCCAGCAAGTTAATCCTGAGGCTTGATCCAGGGCCAGGCTTTAATACACTTGATGCCCCGTTAGTTCCAGATAACGCGAGCCAGGGCTGGACAGTGATGGAAACACCACGAGGCAGTCAGATGCTGCTCCCTTCTCACCCAGCCAAGGCCTCCTTCCCTCCTCAGCCAGCTATTCCCCATGGGAAAACTGGGGGTGGGCAGTGGGATCAGGGGTTGGCAAGCCTGGGAACATCACCTGCTACAAGGGTCTGCTCTGCTCCAGACTGCTGCCATGCCTTCCATACAGTGCCAAACCCCTCAAGCTGAGGAGGGGAGCTCCTCCACAGCCATGACCTGGGTCCTCACAGCACGTTCAGGAGCAAAGAAATTGCTTTTCAAGAGCAAAGAGTTGCTCTTCAAGGGAGTAACCAGAATCCCAGGGCAAACCAGTTTGTAGCCCATCAATGATTAACCCCTTCCTGGGGGAGCTTTCCCTGCCCAAAGCCATTCCAGGGGGAATGGGGCAGTACAGTCAGGATGATGTTTAAGCTCAGAAACGTGCTTTGCAGAACTCCACAGGAAAAACATTGCTCCCCTCAGCAGAGCCTCTGTTGCTGGGCAAATCCTGCTCAGCCCAGGATAAACCTCAACATTCCTCTCCTCAAGTCCTGAAGTGGATTTTCATGTCAGCTGGGCATTTTCCCCACACTTTCCATAACCCTTATCTGGAACACGAGTCCTGCTCAAAGCACAGGCTGAGCTATCACATCCTTCTTCACTCTTCAAAGTCTTCCTGGAGATACCGCCCAACATCAGCCAGCAAAGATATGCTCCAGCCCAAGCATTTTTCCCATGCAAGAGAGACATTTTACCAGACAAACCAGTTTCTCCACCAAAGGAGCTGGGTATTTTTAGGAATGGGAAGATCTGAAGAGGCTCCATGTGTTTGCTGAGAAAAGGCAACGATGGGAGCTGCATAGCAACCCCATGTCCTCCTGCCAGTCCAGCTTGAGAGCTTTGCCTTGGTGAGCCACAAGACAATAAATCAGTGGCATCTCAAGCCACTTTCACCTCCATCTCATGTGTCTCCTTCCCCAGGGACACACATGGAGCTGGTTGTCTTCTGGGCATGGGCAGTGTCACATCTCTCCAGGCTTCTGGGAGATACTCCTTGGGGTGACCCAAGCTCTTACCTGGTATTTATCCGGGTCAGCCCCTCCAGCCTGAGCAACAAAGAGCCCGGAGCCCTCTTCCAACTCCATCTCATCTGGGGAGCGCTCGAAGCGGACGCGCTCGTGCTCTTCACAGTCCAGGTAGAGGACAACTTCATCCTCCTCCACGCTGATGGCAAAGCGCGTCCACTGGTTGAGCAGGGTGGGCACGGTGAAGGTGGCTGCTGGGTAGGAGCTGGGCGAGCCCGGCTCCGTGTAGTAGAAGATGATCTGCTGCTGGCCCGCGCGCAGCTCCGAGAGCTTGACTCCCACGTAGATGATGCTCTGCGAGGCGTCCGTGACAGCAAAGAGCACGCCAGCCCGGGGCGTGGTGGGCTGGATGTGGAACAGCAGCGAGAAGTCCCGGTAGAAAGGGCTCGGCAGGTGGTACCGGGCCACCTGGCCCGTGTTGGCATTGGGACCGAAGACGTAGCCTGGGTTGTTGTCAGGGCCATAAATTCTGTGGATCTCCTCTGTTGGTGGGTCCCCAATCAGCTCCAGCAGGCTGATCTCAGCACTCAGGCTCTCTGTGAGGAGGAAGGACAGGGGATGGTCTCAGGTTCAGACAAGGATGGTCACTCAGCAAGGACACCCCTGCCCGTGCCTCCCAAATACACTGTCCATCAGTGACTCCTTCCACGCACCCGCCCCAAGATTGGTGTGTTGACCAAGGCAGTGACCTTAAGCTGCTCCCACTACATCATTCAGATACATCTCCCAAAATGCTTCCCATTCCCAGCTGCTGGCCCTCCAACCACAACTGGGACATCGCATGACTTGGGTGGGAAGGGACCTTAAAGACCATCTCATTCCAATTCCCCCTGCCATGAGCAAGGACACAATCCACTAGACCAGGTTGCTCAGATTCCCTGAGATGGGATAAAACCAAAGGGGTCTTGCCCATGGCAGGGAGATGCTGCTGGAGCACCAGGATGCTGAACTGCCACGGAGCCCTGGAGAAGTGTGTTGCATCCATACTCAATTCTAGGATCACAGTGACCCCTTACATCATCCCAGGACAAGATCCTATGGTCACCCCAGCGGGGAATAAATCAGAGCCATCCCCTTGCTGCACCCTGGGAATGCAGCTCAAGCCAGCTCAGCTTCCCAGATGCTCTCAATTTGGAGGTCGCCTCCTTTCCCAACTCCAATTGAGAATTAGGGAATTGGAGAAGTTCTGCTGGACATGGTCTGTCCTGCCCAGCGCAGCTGAACATCTGGTGAGGGTGATCCAGCACTGTGTCTGTCAGCTCCTGTTGTTCTGGCAGCCAGCACATCCTCATCGCCCACACAACAGGCGCTGGATTCCTCCTCTCCTATGTAAACCGCTTGGGGCCAGTGCCAGCTCCAAAGAAGAGGCTTTTTAACCTCTCCTTGCCTGGGAAGCAGGAAACCCAGCCACCCTGGCTCCGAAACTGCTGAAGGATCTGCACTGGGAATGGATGCCCAGTGCTGAGCTTTGGCCCTATCCTGAGCCAGGTGCAGGAGCTGACACAATTCAGTGTCTCCAGTTCCATCCCTGATTTTCATGTGAGCAACGGGGAGTCAGATGGGAGTCAGATGAGTCAGTCAATGGGGGATATCAGATGTGTATCTTGAGGTATCCTGGGCTGAACCCAGGAGGATCAGCCAGGAACCTCCACCTAGCTCTTTGAGACAGGTATTTTCCTCCAGAGAAAAAAGAAAAAGAAAAAGAAAAA